CACATTTTGACGAAATTCACTTGTTCAAGTCATAGAATTAGCTTTGATTTTAGCTGGATTTTTTTTATAAAATTAACAAAGAACTGTGACATTGCATTGTATCGGAAGCTAGTTATTCCTTTATTTCATCTTATTCATTTTGTCAGAATATTTCGAGGTTTTCCCTTATTAGCTCTATACTTTTTATTACAAAAACTATTTATAATGTGATTTGTAGACATTTTTAGCAATTAAATAAGGACGATATAACTTCTTCAAGAATAATTTAAATTGAATTTGTTTTCTGAAATAACCGAGGAATTTGCCAATATAATGAGGACCAATATCTACTTTGGTCTTTACAGAAATTAGACATTGAAGAAGGTACTTATAGTTAAAGATTCTATGTTTGCTAACTGAATTCAGGCGATAAAGATTTTGAAAGACAAAAATCCAAACCTCGTGAAGTGCTGCTTGGCATTCGTGGCGAAGCCAAAGCAAAACAAAGTAGCATTTGTGTAGGATATTACAATCTTTTATTGATTCAAATGTTAAACCGTAAAAAAGTATATTACAACAGCCAAAAGTTTCTTTGACATTTCTCTTGATTTTAAAGAGGTAAGTCGTTATATCAAAAATCAAACCTAAGAAATGAATGTTTTAACTTTGCAGGATTAAAAAATAATAACAGAAACAAATTCTTTAAAAACAAGCTTGGTCACGATGATGTACTTTTTGAGTTATTTCCCCGTAACATGGGTGCTTTGCCTTTTTTGGTCCAATGGCTACAATTCAACCATAACGTGTAAACATGCCGAATTTTGAAATGAACAGAACCTCACTTTAATTATGATAACGTATTACATCTTATTTCAAATATGCTCAGATGCAATAGTCATTTGATGTAAAAGCAAATATATTATCCGGTATCTTTAAAGCATACCATTGTATACGAGTGATATAAATATAATATAGTAAAATATAATATACCAAACTATATCTTGCAACATATTTAATGAAGACAACTAGTATTGAACAGTGCCTCAATGAAGTCCAGTGAAGTGTACTTGAATTTTACTTTACTTTTACATTGAGTACTTTAAGTATGAAATATGGTTTTATATTGATATTACGCAGCATGAACACTACTAATTCTTTACCGCACATCATTTTCAAAACTGCATAAATTAAATAGTTTATCTTTTTACAAGTAAATATTACATTATTTATCAAGCGGTTTCATATTGGCCAAGGGCTGTCTCATTTGTTTTCACTCGTAGGGCAAATATGAAATCTCCCGATACAGACTTTTTTTTATAAATCAACAACAAATTGAGACAGTTTCGAGATAAATTATAGCATTTTGCCGTAGTATCAAATCTACAAATCATATTCAGAGGCATATGCTATCTTATTATTTATATTATTATTTTTATTATTATTATTATTATTTCCTTTTTTAAGGTGACTGGTATCCCTATCGTTGACAGGTACAAGTTAAGATGTAAACTTTGGACTTATTTAACAGATACGTTGTTTTCTGTAGCACTTTAATAAAATTATATACTTTAATGTTATGGTATTGCATAGAACTAAATAACAAAAATGTTTATAACACTGTCAGTAACTTTCAGTGTTTCAAAGCGGAAAATAGTTTAAAAATATTTCAGACTACCATATAAATAAAATCAGTTCTTTGAACACTATATATATTTGGCTTGTCATTAAAAGCGTAAACAATGTAAATGACTTAATTCTACTAGTAGATGACAACCGGGGTGCCACTCGGCCAGACGTTTGAGCACGAGCAAGCACGTGAGTAGGACCGACTGTCTTCTGTAAACTAGCTGGCGGGTCTCGATTTCATAGAATCAAGTGTTTTGAAACTCTTATTTCTCGGACTCGAATGCCTGTCATTAAAACATCAAATAACATATGGACGGCGTAGCCTTTACCAGTCGGTCATAGAGTCATCATTTATATGCTTAAGGTTACTTAAGTTAACAATATAAAATAATAAAATCACCTTATTCACGTTTTAACACGAATGATTTTACAATGAAGAAATGTTAGAAAAAAATAAAGTTCTTATCAACAGGTTGTCATATTCAACATACTATGTAAATATCTATGAAAAGTACAAGGACTAAAATTGTCAATCATTTATTTAGGGATAAAGAAAACGTGTGTATGACTTCTTAGATAAAGTGATATATGAATGTTAATAATGCTGACCATGTAAATGTAAACAGTAGATAATCTTCATGTTCGTTTTTGCACTTAACAAGGCTCTGGTTACTTATTTGCATTTTATAAAAAACATAAGTCCAATATTGTAAGTGGCAATGAAAAACATTACTTTAAGCAGTTTTCCAATATGCGTACATCTAAGGCTTTTATGTCATAAACTTCTGTTAAACCAGAAAAAGGTCTTTCAAAATAATTTGTATTTTCTGTATTTTTAAGGTTCTCCGCGGCCTTGATTGGCATGCACTTTCGAATACAGTTTCTTCTATTTGTGCACATGTTATAGTAGTATTACTGCTATTGCATATTCAAAACCTACTTTATTAATAAATTTATATGGTACAAAGATATCTCGAATAAATTGAATCAATTGTTTATAAAAGTAACATCGAGATATATGTAGCAGGATTGGATACAAACCTTAAAATGTTCAATGTTATTCAGTTTGCCTGCAAACCCAGGCAAATATCGATTAGCAGTTGAGAACACCATAGGATCATATTACAAATATTATTTTCTTATTCAAACAGGTAAAATTCATAAACGTTTTATACCATCTTTAGAATTTTATTTTTAATCTGTCGTATTAAAATTACTTTTCCTTCAATAATGAATGTAAAACTTAAATTTGAAAAGATATATCATGAAGCAAGAGCTGTGATATTTAAATTCTTTACAATTTCATCACAAGATTCATAATATCCTTAAAAGTTTTTGCGTAAAGACCATATCAATTTTATGAAAATAGTGTGGTTTTACTATATGCGTGCAAATAGTATAGACCTTATGGCGCCTTCGAGCAAAGACATGGTAAAGAAAATGACTTGTAAACAGAGGTTAGAAGCTTTAGCCTGCACTAAGATAGCAATAATGTGATGCATAAATAACATAAATCTTTAAAGATGTATATGTATCGTCGGCAGATTACAGTAGAATACAAAAGCAAGCGGTCTGTAATTTAAATGGCAACGATGTAATAAAAATACCTAAAAGACAATAATGAAATAGCCATCCAACACTAATAACAGACCCGTTATGCAGAATAAACATTTTAACATACATTAAGTTATCTAAGCCATGTTCGACATGAACAGGTCTTTGGTCGTAATATGTTACGGGCAAATGATTTCTGACTACGAATGGTACATTTTAGATCCGTAGATATAATGTGCAGTTTATTAAAAGATTTTAAACTTTAAAAAAAACAACCCTCTCTGGATAACTAGTTCGTTGTTGTTATTATAAGTTTTTTTAATCTTGTAATGTACCTATTAGAAAATAGATTAATCTATTTTGACTTGATTATGATACCCCATACACTACAATATTTTGCGGTTTTCCAGCTAAAGAATTAATTGAAGTCTATAGCTTTCACTAAATGCATTTTCAGTCCGACCTATTGCATAAATAGAACGCCTAAAGTCCCGTAGACTATCTAGCAGGATCCGGATCCACAACATAGCCAGCAACTCTCGTATACTATTTCAGTATCTCTATTCAGACTAAGGTTAAAAATGAGGAAGTATAAATAGAGGATATTTGTTTAGTTCAGTGTAAGATCGTAATATATTTCACCGAGTGAGCACCAAAAGGTATATTTCACGTGTGGCGCAGCCACGAGTGAAATATGAACTTTTAGTGTTCACAAGGTGAAATATATTTCGATCTTACACTAAACTAAACAAATTTTCTTTTGATTACATGCAAATAAACGTTTTAAAAAGACATTAACTGTAATACTGAATGAAAAGCGTGCCAAATGATAATAAAACGTGACGTCATTTACGACATCACGTCATTAAATTGGTACCCAGTACTGTGCACGCTGGTATTTCACTGAAACAACGTATAGGGCTTAAATTCAAAACAGTGAAATTATCAAAATTGTAATTTCACTGTTTCAAACAGTGAAATTACCAGTTTTATATCACTGATATATTTCTATAAACCACCGAAAAGCATGTAATAAAAAAGATATTAAAATAAATGATTGTCTTTGTCTATCAACTAGGTTCATATTCCTTGTACATGCATTTAAACAACTTAAAAGATAAATTTAATAAAAAAAAATTTAAGCCTTCAATTGTCACTCGTTGTTAAATTCGTAAGTAAAGTTATCTGAAGTAAACACTTTTAGCTTGACGTTTTAGTTTAATCATCGACTATGACACTTAAATACATCTATCAGTCGTATCATTATTTGTAGCTTACAAGATAAAACTTATGCAGGAAGCACTCTTTTATATGTCTAAGGGCTATATCAATGTGTATTGTTCTTATTTGGCTTGTCTGCATCGTTGTCGGGACAAAACAGAAACTAGACAAATTGACAAACTGCACAGATGGTTTAATACATGTACTGTAATAAACAAGAGTATTAACTTCAATATCAGTGCGTCTAGTACAGAGATTGACTCAAAACTTTACCACTTCTCTGAGTTTAAATTTCATGTACATTTATTTACAAAAATATCTAGTAAAATGTTCATTTATATCATATGTAAAATGCATTGTGAATGTACTGATCTTACAGTGAATTTATTTTTACGTTATATGCAACTATTCTTCTTTTTCTATATAAAACGGATTTGTCTTAATACATAGAAATAAACTGACACGTATCTTCTTGTTGTGTACCGTTCCTCCATCTTCCAAAAATATTTTTGTAAATAAATCTGCACCGTTTCACGTATCCGACAGTTTGTTTACAGAGCGAATTAAAAAAATATGATTGGTAGAATAGAATAAATATATTACCATTCTAACATATAAAGCGAAAGTCCTCCAATTTCTTATCATTAAAGAGCGTATGATTTAATTCGGTTTTATTTGCATTTGAAAACACTGTTGAAAATGGTTTGAAGAGTTTGTTTTAATCAGAGAAGGTAAACTAGTTAAACATTTTATTGAAATTGACTTTTAATGAATATTTGCTGCTGTCTATAAATAAAATATTTATGTAAATAAATTGTACCCATTTACTGCACTTTAATATTGCTTACGGACAAGTTCAACAATCTACAATTCAGATTTATTTTATCATACTTCTAATATATAAGTAAGTAATCGTCAATTTCTTATATACTTTCAAATTATCAAATTTCTGAAAATTGCTTGTTTATGATCTTTTAGGTAAATACTTGGATTTGATGTTAAAATCTCACATTGAATTCTCTTCATGTTATTATATTTAAAGGCATTATATACGACCGTATTTCTATTTAAATGAAATATTTCTGAGCAACATAAGTAGTTATCATAATTCATTACATGTTCATATAGTAAATAAGACTACTTTGCTTTTCTTACGTATACTTTCAATTAAATCTCATTGGATACTCGTGTATTGACATTAAAACATTTTAGAGGTTTTTTTATCTGAAACAGAATATAGAACCATTGAAATAATGCTCTGCATTATAAAAATGATGAAGCAAATCCTGTGCCTGCTTTTGGTGGCGGGAATGTGCATAATTATGTTCACCTTGATAGTTCTAAGTTTTTCGAGCCTTGAATTCTTTATTTGTTTCTTCACTGCATCTCTTTAAGCTTTTTAAGAATGAACTTGACTTCTGCAAGAACGATCCATTTTTTAAAGATTTACATGATTTGGCAAGGGTTATATAAGAAAAGTAAAAATGTGTAGGAAACATTATTACTTACAACTTGTACGGAAATAATATATAAATTAGGATTCGAACTAAAGCCCATGTAAACAATAACTGACACGACATTCTCATTGTCAAAATAACAAAATAACTGTTCGTCATTTTTAAATTTTAAAGCGTTGCTGTCATTTCGTCTTTTCTTTAAATTATAATTTCTCATGCGACTACATCGTTTTCATGAACAATTCCTTGAATAAATTGTATGTATTTTCAAAATCTATATTATTTGCCTAGTTAGACTTGAAGAGAGAATTAATGAATCTCTTTACTTCGTTCAAAATCATCAAAAGAAAACGGCTAATTATACACCCAACACTATTCCAAATATATATATAAGTATCTATGATAAATAAAAAGATGTGTAATTTTTATTCAGAATGTTGGTTCAATTGTTGCAAATATTGCTATTATTGCTGCATTTTGAGAATGTTGGTAAGTAGATCTTAAAAATGTTAATGTCTGAAAATGTAAAAGAACGTATTTCTTATATATTAATTACAGGCACATTTGTTCTCTTGACTTTTCTGTAAAATTATTTTCTGTCCATTCTTAGTTCCTACAGGTATAGCATTTGTAATAGAAAATATTATCAATCACTTTCCAAAAACATATTGAATAAAAATCCAAAATTACATAGCTATAGTTATATTTTTAATGTACTCATTTTAAATTAATTAAACATATTTATATGAAATCAAGGTCATACTATTCAATTTTAAAATGTAATTTTTCAAACTTTTTATTTTATTTTTCCTATGATTTTAAAAATCAGATATGTGTAAAGCAAACACATACCCACACTGTAAGAGTTGGGGCAGTTGTTCAAAGCCATGTGGAGGAGGAACTCGCAAGCGGGTGTGTGAATCGTGTTATTTTTATATAGACAAAGATTTTTATGAAGACTGTAACGAGCATTGCAACTACAATCATCCTTATTATTCCGGAAGATGCCATTGTCCGGCATGGAGAAATGGCGAGTGCTGTGAAAGTAAGAAAGAAACATATCCATACAAAACAATTTGTTTTCAGAATGATGATAAGAGATAAGAAAAACAGCATCCATTTTGGTCATAATGTATCCACATAACAGCCTTGTCTATGTACTATAACCATTATAATGTGGTTATGAATGGCTGTGTTCATTGTGCATATCTTGACTTTAGTTTACTTTTTATCATTATTTTGATTTCGCGAAAAGTGGTGTACATCACTTGACCTTTACCCTTTTTACGTGAATTATACATTAAATTGTTGTATATTTTTTCTGTTTTGTTATAGATGACATGCATTCATTAAAAATTCTTTATTTTTCACATTTTTTCATGGTATACATGTTATGTAATATAAATAATAAGCATACCTTTTAGCTCGTTTTTTGAGGCAAAAAGATAAAAGTTTCAAAGTTTCAAAGTTTTATTCATATCAAACCAGAAGGTCAACGACCCATGTGGCAAAATGCACAGTACAAATTACAAATATGGCAATTTACATACTAGCATATAAGACCTGCATAAATAATATTAACGAACATATTTCCGTTTCAGTGTACGTAACAGTAAACAAAACTTATTTAGCAAAAGGTATAGAGTTTTGCATATATAACAGTTTATATAATTACAAACATATAGAAATGAAAACTGGTGACAGATATGAATATAAACTGTCCAAAATACATAGATAACTAAGTGATATATGCAGTTTACCGAAAATAAAGCATATTACGATTTTAGTATTTCTGGTAACAATGATTCGCTGAATGAGTAAGATAATATATTATCTGAGAATACCATATTTGTCAGCCTTGTCCGAAAAACGAAGGCAACAAGATTGACATATGGTAAAACAAATAGTTGCTTAGAAATATCGTGTATACACTAAAATAAAAGATATATTTACTAATTTCATTTTACAATTACTTAAGTTGCACAGTTGACAAAGTTTACTGCACCTTAATTACCTTAATAACGTTGAATGAAAATAGTGTTGTTCCTAACATTTAAAGCTTTTTCAATATAACATGCAATACGTTTTATAATAGTATCATTATCAGAGTTCATAAGAGCAATAAATTTTATCATATTTGGGTGTCTCCAATAATATGGCGATATAAACTGCTTTCTGAGGTTAATATATCTATTACATTGTAAAACAAAGTGAAACTCGTCCTCTAAAACATTACATTCAGAACATTTGCGATCATCATAAGGAATAGCCCTTGGCTGGTGCCATCTACCTGTTTCAACATATAAACTTTGTGATGACATACGTAATCGTGACAAGGATATACGAAACTTTCTAAAATCTAAAATATTTAAGTACGGTTGAAAGCAAAAATTGGTAATGTTTCTAAAAAAGATTGCTCTAGTGGAATTGTTTAGTCTATCATTCCATTTTTGAACAAACTGGTCTTTTATTCTTTGTTTGACATTTAACAAAAACAGATCAACATGACCAACTGTTTGAAATATCCATGCGTCTATGAAACCCAATTCACAAAGTAAGTTTTTAACTAACGAACACCAGTTTCTCCTATTAGAATAATAAACAACATCATTATATAACATATATACTTTTTTAACATATTTGTGATCTGACATATACAAAATTTGTATCCAATATTTAATAATGTTATAAAGTCTTATGTTTTGTAACGACATGCGACCTAATTCTCCATAAACAAAATCATTTTGAGTTGATTTCTTTACACCCAATAAACGTTTACAAAATTGTGTGTGAACTCTCTCAATGGTAGCACCGGGGTGAAATCCCCAGACCTCAGAACAATAATTAAAAATAGGTAGGACTAACTTATCAAATAATTCTAATCTATGTTTTACAGATACATCAGTAAATTTATATAAATATTTGTTCATTTTAAATATTGCCTTTAACCCTTGGCCAGCTAAAGTATTTTGTGCATCAGCAAAACAACCAGATGTCGTAAATACGATACCTAGATATACAAAACGATTAACGATCTCAATGTTATTTTCACCATATTTAAACTGCAAATTTGCTCGAAGGCGCCCACCTTTTCTAAATATGAGTATTTTAGTCTTTGATGCATTTACTAACAACTTCCATCTATTACAGTAATCATATAGTAAGTCTAAACTAGATTGCAAATCTTTTTCACTATCAGCAAATATAACAATATCATCTGCATATAAAATAAGGAACATTTTAAAGGTATCTACACTAATGCCATCAAGGTTACTATGAACAAAAATGTCTTCAATATCATTTAAGAACATAGAAAATAAAAATGGGGATAAACATTCCCCTTGTCTCACACCTAAGATACATTCAAAACTATCACTTAATTGATTTAAATATTTTACCCTAGATTTAACACTTTGATACATCGAACGCATTTTATTTAAAATATTTCCCCTAATACCTAATTTTATAAGTTTTGTCCAAAGGCAGTCCCTACTTACATAATCAAAAGCTTTTCTGAAATCTATAAAAGCACAAAATAATTTTCTTCCACTATTTATGACATGATTAATAAGCCCATGAAGTACAAAAAACATTGTCTGTTGTACCCATTCCTGTTCGAAACCCCGCTTGGGCCTCAATGTAAACTCCATAATTTTCAGCCCATGTACACAGACGATTATTGAGTACCCTAGTAAATAATTTACCTAAAGTGCTTAAAAGCGTAATCCCTCTATAATTAGTAACGCCATTTAATGAACCTTTCTTGTGTAATGGCACCACAAAACCCTCAGACCAACTATCTGGAAAATAACCCAACTCATAAATTCTATTGAACAGAGACAATATAAAAGGCATTAAATGTATCCTTACCATGTATAAAAAATTCGTTCAAATATAAATCAGGACCTCCACTTTTATTTGAGTTTAATTGTTTAACTGATTTAATTAGCTCCTCTAAATTAAAAGGTACGTTCAATTCATCGAACATCAAACAAAAATCGTTATATTCATAACGTTCCATAAAATGAATAATATCTTCATCTGGCACAAAAAATCTATCTTCAGGATTATTAACAGATTTAAAATAGCGTTCAAAATCATTCATAGGTACATTTGAATTACTAACTCCAGATTTTTCCTTCAACATGTTCCAGTATAACTTAGCATTTTTCAACCTAGCATTGACTAACAAATCTGTTTTTTGTTTATCATAATTAAATCTAGCTTTACGTATACAACATTTGTAATCAGAACGTTTTGAAACAAGATTTTGCCTGTTTATATCAGTTTTATCTAATCTATACATATTTAAGGCATTGTAAAATAATTTTCTTTTATCATCACATTCAATGGTATACCATTTGTTATTAAAATTTGAACGAGTATTTTCCCTTGCATTATTTCCAATAATACATTTAAATAAAGGCGACGCAACTCCGTCAATAATACATCCCAACTGGTTGATACATTGATCGATATCTGAATTACAATTTTCAATATCAACATTCAATTGAAAATTATTCAACTGTTCTAATGTACTACTTTCAGCTAATCTAGATTTATACAATAACGTGTTTTCCTTTTTCCACGCATATTTGGTGCTAACATGTTCATAGATTACTCATTTCCATTAGTATATGGTGTATAAGTAGGGACATTGAAAACAAATTAAAATCTATCAGTGCATGGTCAGACAATAAGTTAGGATCACTGATATTAAAATATTCAATATATTCAAATAAGTTCGGTGTACTACACACATAATCAACAAGTGAATTTCCATTTGAAGTAATACAAGTAAATTTTCCAACATTTTTGTCATTATCAAAACGACCATTTAAAATTCTAATACCCGTTTGTTTGCATAAGTCGAAAAGCATAGTGCCATAGTCATTTAAATGTCCCTTATCTTGTGATACCCTTGGTAAATAATTATCAATACAATATTCATCAGGTAATATATCAATATTAGAAAAATTATCATCTACAACAAAGTCTGCACTGTCAGATGTGCGTGAGTTCATATCACCACATAACACAATGTTTAAATTTCCCTCATACTTTAAATCTAATTCAACAAGCTTATCTAAAAGTCTATCATATGTGTGTGTGTGTATCCATTAATGGAGCCCTAGTACTATTTTTGGGGATAACATATAAAAGACAAATCAATAAATCATCCTCAAGACCCAACTTATCTTTACTTATCTTTATACAGACTATATCATCATTGCTAGTAAACACCATCATGTCACTTGTGACAAATGTATTACGTACGTAAACCATAACACCACCAGACGACCTATGCGCATTTGGGTGAATATCAGTTCTATTTACAGAAAAAAGTTCAAAATTTTCAACGTTATAGTTAAACATGCTATTTCCCCATGTTTCTGTAAGAAGCACCAAATCATTAGAACTGAACACTTGTTGTAACTCCGGAGAGTCTAATTTATTTGTTCGTTTTGTGATAAGACCCTGAATGTTCAACAGAGCACAACGTAGCTTCACCTTCTGGTTGTCGTATGCCTAGTGGTCTATTTGCGCTTCCGTAGTTGAAACTCCGTCGTCATTTACCAGCCTATTATCAAGGTCACTAGACTGTAACACAGGTGTAGAGTGTCTATTTTTAGACTTGGATTTTCCCACACGCGATGCACTAACACTTTGTTCTCGCCGGTTGTACGGTTTTGATGATTGTGTGCGCTTATCAGCCCGTGAAGTTGATCGAACTGTCTTAGAAACTGACCGCCCACGCACTGGTGATTTAGCTGTGTTGACATGATTTTGTAATGTGTAAGTTTCAGTGGATTTTACATGTGTTTCCTCTAAAAGAGAGTCATTTTGATTATGCACATTATTACGTTAAGCTATTACATTTGCTGACGTATCGTCGTCTTTGCAGTTGTCGTGTACGTCGTGCAAAACCATTACTCAAACAAATGATCTAGATGTAATTCTTTTTGTGAGTTTTGCTCCTTTTCAACATAGAATTATTGTCAAAATTGCCTTATAGATTGAATGATTTGTGAACAATAAAAGAAAGCAACTTATAATACTTGACAAGGCGCAGTTGTTAGAAAATAGACATTATTTTGAAAGCTTTTAATTTGATTAAGTTTTGCTCCTTTTTAAACTTAGACTTTTTGTCAAGTTGCGTATTAATTGAATGACAAAATTATGATATCAACGTGAAAGTGGGGACACTTGATGATCAATGCACCGCGCAGTTGTAAAACAAAGGGCATTGTCCTAAAAGCAATTTAAAATAGTTTTGCCCATTTGTAACTTAGTTATTGTCAAAATTTAATATTTATAAGAATGATTTTAAAAGAATGTACTAAGGTATCAATAAAATAATAGCATACTTTTAGTCATGACAAGACACAGTTGGTAGACCAAGGACATTTTTTGGAAATCAAAACTTATAGGAATACGCTCATTTTCAAACCTTTAATATTTATAAAAAGACAAGACAAGCGCTAACATCTCACGTGGTGCATTCTTCATTTGGTTATTTTTATTTAGATTGCAGACATATTTATATCGCTCACTGTAAATCTGGTCAGCAGATGTGCGGAGAAAACCCCGACAATATCAAATGTACACAATGCAATGATCCGTACTACCCTGCCGGATACGGAAATGGTTGTAGAGGTAATAACTTCTTTATTGATAACATTCTTCTAAAATATAGTTGTATCAATTTCTTTCACACTGCTGAAATTGAAAGTTCTTGGTGTACTAAGATGAAAATATTTTAGTTTTTCTTAAATTCAAATTATGTTTTTCTTGCTAGTGTTATAGTTATGTAGATTTTCTTCTGTAAATGTCAAAAGACTTATATCAGTTGGGGCATAAAGAGGAAGTCATTGAAATATTTGTCAAATGTATTTACATTTGATAAAGAATTGCAAATTTAATCTACTTTTAAGTTAAACTGGATCAGTTTTATCAGAAAACATAAGGATGTATACTTTAGAGATAAAAAGGAATATTAATTGAATATCACACAAAGAACCCTTTAACTATTCAATAAGACTTTTGAAAGATTCGCACTTAAATTTTAAAGTCACATGTAAACAAATGTTCTTTTGACAAATAATACACGTAAAGAATATAATTTATTATTATACATTTCTTTACATTTTCCAAGAGCGAATAACATTAAAGTTATTGAATTTATAATGTTAAACATTTAGCAAATTATTCAGTCAATTTAAAAGCAATAAATCGTCTCGCTGATATTTATCAAACCCTCCTTGTACACTGTATTTTAATGAACTGTTATAGGTATTTTGTACCGGACCTATTTGTATTCCGTTTTCTGTCTAATAATGTATTTATACACCTAACAAACACATCTAAAAGTACTTTGGACAATCTTTTTTCATTTTAAAGGAAACGTGAGATTTTTTTTTGTGAAGCTATGCAATTAGTTTGGTAAATATGCACATGAAAGCAAAGTATGATAAAGGACATGATATCTATATGAATAAACATTTTATGTATTTACAAAGGAGAGAAAGCGTATAGAGATATTTTAAGGCGCAACCCATCAAGTTGAAAACTAATATTTAAACGTTGTAAGGTAGCATATGAACGGCTGAGTACATTCGAATTCATTTTCTCTTATAGCCTGATATCACAGGTATAATTGGCCTTTCTGATGAATTATTTCCAATTAAATATACACAAGGTATCTTTCTAGAATGTAAGCGATGAAGCATAATCAAGAGTGAACAGAAATTGTTTTGTACATTTATTGTTACTACATAATTTATCTTAAAGTAAATAAAATATAGCAAAAAAACGGATGCCCGTATTCAAGCGACCGTGAACAGTGGAGAAAATTGAAAACGTTTTTGATAAAAACAGACATCGTACAGTGCGCAGTATCTCAGAAGTGTTGTACACTGTGAATTTAAATAGACAATATGTGTATATACATCGTAAAGAAAGGTGTTAGGAAATCAAAAGTGAATCTCTCAGAAAGAATAGATTCAATTTGAAAAGTTTAAAAATTGACATACGTTCAAATAACAAAATTATGACGTTGGAGCGTGGATCGCATTTGTAGTCGTACAATCTGTTCTGTGTAATCAAATTAAAAGATATCATGTTGATTTTTCACATATTCACTCAGTAATAGGGAAATAAGTTACGATAAATTAAATTAACCCCGTTGAGTATTTGTACTTTAACGCATGACTTATTCGGACATCCCTCGAATAATATTGAATAAATAAGTTCACTCTGGTGAATTTATCGGATATGCAATAAAGCATGACGCAATTTACAGATATTGTCCAACAACATTGACCTGGCACTCTTGCATTTGACCCTGTAGTCGGTATATTCCGTAAACGTTACGATTTACTTGTAAATCGATATGAATGTAAATACCCAATTGTTAAAATGGTGTTTATGAAAATTCCCTCTTAGCGCAGTTGGTAAAGAGTTTTCACTTGTAGACGTAGACTGGTAGGTTCGAATCCTATTTCAGCGATTTATTTTTTATTTTTATTTTGAAATTGCTATTCTCTTTAAACTATCGAAAACCTTTTTATTGTGTGTACTATCTATGTAGAATATTTAATAACTGCCTTTATAGCATGTATGCGCTTAAGCATATACGATTGCATAATGTCACAAAAAGAACCGTTGATGTTGAAAGATACTGTAATGATATAAAAGACAAAAATAAAAGACACAATTGTGCATGAAAACACCACTTAAAAGGTATTCTAAAACCATGTGTAGTAAAACGATTTCAAATTAATTCTTGCAATTAAATTTAAAAAAAAAATCATAACGTGATGTTGGTTAGGTGTCGAACCAGAGACCTTCAGTTCGGTAGTTCGACATCTATACCAATACACCAAACCTCACTGACGGGTGAAGTTAGCAAAACTATCGATATATTCGATAGGTAATAGTCAATGTTTATTCATATGACCTTTCCGAAAATTAATGAAGTGCCAGGTCAATATTGTTGGACAATAGAACAAATCAATTTGTGTATAAATAAACTTCCATACAAAACACACTAAACAATGTTTATCTTAAGCTAAGCCTGTTTGGTCTTGCTATCGTCCATGTACAGAACACGTCGGTGTAAGAAAAATCACAAATACATTCAGGTGCCAATGTATGCACGACAGGTTAACATGTGCATTTGATTTGTGCTAAAATGAATATGGTATTCTTAATTCTCTTCATTGCATTTATCCTTATTGAGTTTACACCAACTGATGTCGGAGCAAGATGCGTGGGGGATCCTGGAATATGTAACTTTTCACCCTGGGAATCATGATCACAATGTAGTATGACTTGTGATGGTGGAAGACAATGGCGATTTAGACCTTATTGCTGTAAATCAAGCTTAGCAAGTCTGCTTGTTTAGGGGATTGCGAATTAAACATGGACAATTATCAAAAGTCTAGTTATGATTATCGATCTTGTAATACATTTTGCTATAACAGTGGCTACATGAATAGGGATAATTTTTGCACATGCAGTAATACATTCTATGGAACGTGTTGTGAGAACCGTAAGTATATAGAACCTTATTTTAAATCCATCCGACGTACAGTTAAATCTTGAGAGGCTTTATCGTCAGCATATCATATTGATCTTTATCTATGTCTATTATGAATAAAGTTCTTCGATGAGTTAGCCAAAAGTAGAACTATAATAATTTAAATTATTTTTGTAATCTAACGTTATCATTTATGACTTCGTATAACGATTGCATGAACAACATGAGGGATAAAAATATAGTTTGTAACAAAAAACAGTGTGTGTAAAATCCATTGCCCAATATATACACGAAAGAAGGTAAGACTAGATCCTTAAATTTTGTTAATGGCAAAATCTTCTTGTATAATATGGCGAGTTTATTTTTCTTTCTAATCTGAAAAAAAACCTTGAAAATGAATAAGCTAAGGTTTGGGCAACTTGATAGGCTGGACAATGATCCCTGTTGACTTGGATATTAAATCGTCAAATGTATATGTCGCAATTAAACAGAGTTTCAAATTCTCGTCAGAAATCCTAGCAGTATGAAAAAGCTGTATCTAGTATCCGAATGTTATACACATAATTATCTGTTCCTCATCATTCCAATAAAGTAGCACACAAAATTCATAAATTAACTATTTGTCAAAAAACTGGTAAGTTTAAGCACTTTGTTTTTATATCGGTGATAATGTATAATCGTAGTGTTACTTTATAAAATATTTATGCTTATATTTAATTCAATCCGAAGGACAATATGGATTCAAGGGCCATTATCGTATACTGGCGAGCAGTAACCAAGTATTAACGTATTTAATACCTATGCCGAAAATTCGGTGTTTTAATCGTGGTTGTCGCCCTTTCTTAGTAACGCACAATTGTGAATGTAAACAATATGTTACTTAGTTTAACCCTCTGATTAACTAAGAAAACAAGATAACACAAAATGACGATGAGACAATGATGTTTTATTGTTGTTTATATTGACAAATGATATTTATATTTTTATTTTGTGAGAATGACGTTTAGTGCTAGTTTTTCATGATTTAAAACGGTTCTGATCGCTAATTAAGCTTTAAATGTCCCCAATCTTTCAAAGTCAAATATATAGAGAGAAAATGATCGGGGGGAATTTAAAGTGGTCGTTTAAGACAAAAGTCGCTCAATACACGTGGTCGCATGGGCAAGTTAGACTGTATAATAATTTAAATTATTTTTGTAATCTAACGTTATCATTTATGACTTCGTATAACGATTGCATGAACAACATGAGGGATAAAAATATAGTTTGTAACAAAAAACAGTGTGTGTAAAATCCATTGCCCAATATATACACGAAAGAATGTAAGACTAGATCCTTAAATTTTGTTAATGGCAAAATCTTCTTGTATAATATGGCGAGTTTATTTTTCTTTCTAATCTGAAAAAAAAACCTTGAAAATGAATAAGCTAAGGTTTGGGCAACTTGATAGGCTGGACAATGATCCCTGTTGACTTGGATATTAAATCGTGAAATGTGTATGTCGCAATTAAACAGAGTTTCAAATTCTCGTCAGAAATCCTAGCAGTATGAAAAAGCTGTATCTAGTATCCGAATGTTATACACATAATTATCTGTTCCTCATCATTCCAATAAAGTAGCACAAAAATTCATAAATTAACTATTTGTCAAAAAACTGGTAAGTTTAAGCACTTTGTTTTTATATCGGTGATAATGTATAATCGTAGTGTTACTTTATAAAATATTTATGCTTATATTTAATTCAATCCGAATGACAATATGGATTCAAGGGCCATTATCGTATACTGGCGAGCAGTAACCAAGTATTAACGTATTTAATACCTATGCCGAAAATTCGGTGTTTTAATCTTGGTTGTCGCCCTTTCTTAGTAACGCACAATTGTGAATGTAAACAAATATGTTACTTAGTTTAACCCTCTGATTAACTAAGAAAACAAGATAACACAAAATGACGATGAGACAATGATGTTTTGTTGTTGTTTATATTGACAAATGATATTTGTATTTTATTTTGTGAGAATGACGTTAAGTGCTAGTTTTTCATGATTTAAAACGGTTCTGATCGCTAATTTAGCTTTAAATGTCCCCAATCTTTTCAAAGTCTTCTCCCTTTGTT